TCGAAAGCCCGCGCAGCTCCGGCGCAGCTCCGGCAGTCTGCGCGCCAAGCGGCATGCCACCGCTGGGCGCGCATGCTGGCTGTGTGGCCGCCCAGCGGGCGCTGGCCTGGTCGTTGTTGGAGCTCCCCCTTGATATGGCGGACGAGTGCGATGGCACTGAGCCGCCTTTGGCGGAAGTGTTGGCGGAGGCCTGCCACACCTTCCCGGTGATCGCCAGCCGCCCCCGTGAGGCTGCAGTGGGAACGAGGGGAGGTTTGGCCTTGTACATAGAGATTCGCTTGCGGGAAAAGAGCCGTAAAAAAAAAAAAAAAGACCGGCAGCTCCCGCACTCTACCGCGAGCGCCTCCTCCTAATCCTCCTCAGCCTCCGTGCTGCGCTCACAGTCAGGTGCCCACGCTGGCGAGTGGCTCCGTGCCGTCCCAGCAGACGCAGCCAGCACGCTCGCGCCACCCGAAATGCTCATCGCTCTGCGCCGACGCTTACGCCTCCCCCTCCCCTGCGCCCGCGTCGATGAGCTCGGGGATCACCGTGCTGCATGCGCCCGCAGTGGCTTGCTGGCGCGACGAGCCCCGCTCCTCGAGCGCGCGTGGGTGCGGGTCGCTCGCGAGGCGGTTGGCGCTGAAAGCCGCGTTGTGCCTCAACAGTGGCTTCTGCACACCACCGCGCTTGGGCTCCCGGCCGAAACCCCTCGGTTTCGTCTTGTGTGGCGCGGCGAGTCGCTGCGCTGCGATGTCACGTCCGTGTCACCTCTGCGCGCGGACGGGATGCCGCAGCCGGGAGGTCGCGATCGTGACGGCGCGGCCATCGAAGTCGCGCGGCGCCGGAAACTCGCACGGTACCCTGAGCAAAAAGCTTGCTCGGCCCGGACCGCTAAGGCTCGTGGTGCTGGCATCTGAGGTCGGCGGGCGTTGGGGCAGCGAGGCCCACGATCTCCTGCGTCGCCTCGTTCGCGCGCGGTCCCTGCGAGCTCCCCCCGTGCTGCGCGCTAGCGTCCACGCTGCTGTTGGTTGTTGGTCTGGTACATCATATGATTGATATTCACCATCTAACATATTGACTCTTGAAACTGTTTTTTGTTTTTTGGTGTTTTTTTCAGCAACGTTTTTGTAGTGATTCTTATTGTTTTTTAATTTTGTTTGATAGAAACACTAGTGATGGATCAGCACGAACATATATTGCACGAACATTTTCAGCATTAAAAAATATATGTCTTTTTATTACAATGACTCAGGTGGCCCGTCTCCACTCCTTTTTGGCACTTCTATTTCTATTTCTATTTTCTATTCTATTTAATAACCTAATATATTATACCTAATACCTTGATTCGACACGGGTAGGGTAGGTTGATAGGCTATCAATGCCGCGGTACCAAACTACATATCTCATATAATATATTATATTATATGATACACACACAACTAGTGGGAAAACAAAATGTAAGAAAGAAAAAGAAAAAGATAAAAATAATAGAAAAAATATACATTTAGATGAAAAGTATAATGACAATAGTATTGATAAAGGCGGCATTTGGCGCGGACCAGCGCAGCCGGTTGCCGAACCGGCGCTGCCCTCTCTGCTGCCGCTGCGCGCCGCGTAGGAGCAGGAAGGGCAGATTGGACACTTCCCGGCTGATGGAAAAAGGCGCGCGGAAAAAAAAAAAAAACAAGCGAGTGCGTTAAACCAACCTGCACTATGGGTGCGTTTAGGGGCGGTCCCTAAACGCACTCGCAATAGGGTTTGAGGCGTTCAGGGGCATGAGAGTCCATAAGTACGAACCATAAATAGGCCGAGACCTGCACAATGGGTGCGTTTAGGCGCGGTCCCCAAACGCACTCGCATTGGGGCTTGAGGGTTAAGGGGCAGGATATTCTATCAGTATGATCCCCAAATAGGCAAACCTGCACAATGGGTGCGTTTAGGCGCGGTCCATAAACGCACTCGCAATGGGGCTTAAAGGTTAAGGGGCAGGATATTCTATCAGTGTGAGCCCCAAATAGGCTGAAACCTGCACTATGGGTGCCTTTAGGGGCGGACCGTTTGTCCAGAAGAACTGAAAGCAGCACATTTTGGGATGAGAGAGCAAAGTGTGTCGACCACTTGTCCACAAGCATGGAAACCAGCACATTGATTCACCTTCTTGGGGTGAGAGGGCAAAGTGCGTTTTGGGGGGCCTGGAAAACGCACCCAGCTTCCCTGCTGTTTGTACTTGGTTATGTCGACTATATCATCGACGAAAACTCTATGATAATCTTATGTCTCCGCGAAAGGCGCGGCGCTTGGTGCTTTCCTGGGAACAAGAAAATCAGACAACCCCCAGCTGCGAGGCTGTTGGTGTTCAGCAGCCGGCCGGGCGAGCATCATGAGCATCAGCTGCTAGGCTGTTGGTGTTCAGCAGCCGGCCGGGCGAGCATCATGAGCATCAGCTGCTAGGCTGTTGATCAGCTGCTAGGCTGTTTGGTGTTCAGCAGCCGGCCGGGCGAGCATCATCAGCATCAGCTGCTAGGCCGTTGGTGTTCAGCAGCCGTCAGGGCGAGCATCATGAGCATCAGTTGCTTGGCTGTTGGTGTTCAGTAGCCTGCCGGGCGAGCATCATGAGCATCAGCTGCTAGGCTGTCGGTGTTCAGCAGCCGGCAGGGCGAGCATCATGAGCATCGTTTGCTAGGCTGTTGGTGTTCAGCTGCCGGCCGGGCGAGCATCATGAGCATCAGCTGCTAGGCCGTTGGTGTTCAGCATCCGTCAGGGCGAGCATCATGAGCATCAGTTGCTTGGCTGTTGGTGTTCAGTAGCCTGCCGGGCGAGCATCATGAGCATCAGCTGCTAGGCTGTTGGTGTTCAGCAGCCGGCAGGGCGAGCATCATGAGCGTCGGTTGCTAGGCTGTTGGTGTTCAGCAGCCGGCCGGGCCAGCATCATGAGCATCAGCTGCTAGTGTTGGTGTTCAGCAGCCGGCCGGGTGAGAGCTGCTGGGCTGTTGGTGTTCAGCAGCCGGCCGGGCGAGCATCATGAGCATCAGCTGCTAGGCTGTTGGTGTTCAGCAGCCGGCCGGGCGAGCATGAGCATCAGCTGCTAGGCTGTTGGTGTTCAGCAGCCGGCCAGGCGAGCATCATGAGCATCAGCTGCTAGGCTGTTGGAGTTCACCAGCCGGCCGGGCGAGCATCATGGTTCAGCAGCCGGCCGGGCGAGCATCATGAGCATCAGCTGCTAGGCTGTTGGTGTTCAGCCACTGCTAGGCTGTTGGTGTTCGGCAGCCGTCAGGGCGAGCATCATGAGCATCAGTTGCTTGGCTGTTGGTGTTCAGTAGCCAGCCGGGCGAGCATCATGAGCATCAGCTGCTACGCTGTTGGTGCTCAGCAGCCGGCCGGGCGAGCACCCTGAGCATCAGCTGCTAGGCTGTTGGTGGTGTTCAGCAGCCGGCCGGGCGAGCATCACGAGCATCAGCTGCTAGCCTGTTCGTGTTCAGCAGCCGGCCGGACGAGCATCATGAGCATCAGCTGCTAGGCTGTTGGTGTTCAGCAGCCGGCCGGGCGAGCATCATGAGCATCAGCTGCGAGGCTGTTGGTGTTCAGCAGCCCGCCGGGCGAGCATCATGAGCATCAGCTGCTAGGCTGTTGGTGTTCAGCAGCCGGCCGGGCGAGCATCATGAGCATCAGCTGCTAGGCTGTTGGTGTTCAGCAGCCGGCCGGGCGAGCATCATGAGCATCAGCTGCTAGGCTGTTTGGTGTTCAGCAGCCGGCCGGGCGAGCATCATGAGCATCAGCTGCTAGGCTGTTGGTGTTCAGCAGCCGGCCGGGCGAGCATCATGAGCATCAGCTGCTAGGCCGTTGGTGTTCAGCAGCCGTCAGGGCGAGCATCATGCGCATCAGTTGCTAGGCTGGTGGTGCTTATGAAAAGCAACAAACTGGTACAGCTGGCGCTCCCTTGGCGCTCCCTCCTTGCTGCTCATTCAGGCAACATTTTGATAGTACTTTCGCCCTGCGCGCGGGGTCAGCTCGTATCAAAATATCGGGTTTCCTCGTGCAAAGCCGGGGCCCGCAATATCGGGTGGCAAAAAAAGATGTATCGGACGCGACTTGGCAATGAGCGGGACCGCGCTCGCACTCGACCCCCACGCTGCAAGGCAAGCTGAGATGCAGAAGCACGCCGCAATGCCAGCATCGTGATTTGTCGCATGCTCGGCAGTGAGCGCGAGTGGCGCGTTCAACAAATAGTTTGCCCGCAGCACGGCATAGTGGGGCAGTAGAAGCCACGCAGTCTCGAGGTCCGGCACGGGATGCTGCACGGGAAGCGACATTGCGATCGCACTCAAGGCAGCCACCATCATGCGTTTCATGCGAAAATCCCACGCTTCCTGCACTCTTTGCATTGTTCAATACGAGATAGCCTGCATTCGGGTTTGCCCCGGTGCGGGACCGTGCCCGCCTCCCCGGGAGTTTGGTTGGTGGGGGGGGGGGGGGGGGGGGGGGGGGGGGGCGGCATTTTTGTGACATCAATTCGGACGATCCAGGAAATCCTGACACGTGTAAGTGTTCTCATGTGTAAGTGTTCTCATTGCATGAAACCCTACCATAAACTTGGAGGTTCAATTGTGCCGTTTTGTGGTCGGCGTCTTCTCATGCTGTTGGATTTTAAAAAAAATCGTTTCTGCTAACCCGAAAACTGCCTCATACGTTGCCAGCCAGGGTTTCAACAGTGTTTTGCCCAGTTTTCGCTTGCGACGATGGTTCTAAACTTTATGATGGTTGCGTGGCTGAGCCAGCTTTGTGACAGGTGCAAGTGCGTCCGCGGCATCTCGCTCTCAAGACTTGCCACCACACGTACTAACCTCCCTTCCACAGCGCGGTTCCCCATGTGCGAAGAGTTCCGACGAAAATTGTTTGATCCTGAATCTCTCGGGCTACCGAAGGACTTCGTCTTCACAGGCTTTGCGGAGCGCAAGGGCTGAGGGTGCAAGGTGCGGCAAGATAAGCTGACAGAGTTGCTGACAAGCATCGGGGACGGATCGATGCTCACCCAGGACTCTCCTGACGTTTCGCTTGTTCCAATTGGAGCTGCTGCAGGCCAATCAGAGTCCATCTATTTGGCCAGCACCACGGATTTTTTCTCCCCTATTTCTTTAGACCCATACAATCAAGGGCGTATTGCGTGTGCGAACACGCTGTCGGATCTGTATGCCATAGGAGCCCATCGAGTTGACACTATTCTGATGATCCTCTCTGTTTCAACGAAGATGCCGGAGAGTCATCGTGATATCGTGACGCTAAAAATGATTCAAGGCTTCAACGATGCATGCAAGGAAGCTGGGACCAGGGTGACTGGTGGCCAAACGGTGTTCAACCCGTGGCCAATCATTGGTGGGTGTGCCACCACAACAGTAACCGATAAGGACCTTGTGAGAGCTGACGGTTTGCAACTGGGTGATGTCCTCGTTCTTACAAAGCCTTTAGGCTGTCAAGTAGCAGCCAATCTTGCACTTTGGCTTGGGGATCCGGCAAAGTGGCAGAAGGCCAGCACCCGAATCGATCTCGACACTGCCGTGCGTGCCGTGAAGAAGGCCGAGGCTGGAATGATGCGATTGAACCGCATGGCAGCAATGTTGATGTCCCTCTACGGCGCTCATGGGGCCACCGATGTGACTGGCTTCGGTTTGCTTGGCCATGCCTCCAACCTGGCAGCCGTACAGAAAAACGACGTGTCTTTGGAAATACAGATGCTACCAATCATCAGAGGCCTCGCAGCGCTGGAGAGCAATGTTGATGCCAACTACCAATTGACCAGCGGCTTTTCGGCAGAGACCTCAGGAGGGCTTCTTGTTGCACTGCCAGGAAAGGAAGCTGCGGAGCAGTACATTGCGGCTCTACAGGCACCTGAGGCGGACGGACCAGAGGCTGAAGCCTGGATCGTTGGGGAGGTTGCGCGGGTAGACAAAAGGTAGTAATGACTCAAAGCGCTTTAGTGCAGCCCAAACGTTTGAGTTTCGCTTCTGGTACGAGCGGAAGACTTGTAGATCTCGTGCAGCATTGCACCCTGAAGGTTGTAGAAGGTGACCGGACAGCCCGACTTTGTGAGAACTGTACAGTCCTTGAAGTTTGATGTGATGTCGGGGCCACTGCGTGGCTTGCGGTTGTGCATTGAAGTGGTTGTGCGTGTTACGGATGCAGTGACACTGGAATTGTGATTTGGCTTCGCGAATCAGCTGTGCCAATGAGTTTCACAGCCACCGCATCTCATGTGACAAGTGCTTCTGCAAGGCTACCGCGACCGCCTTAGTTAGCAAAGTTTACTGTGTCGTCGTCGCCAGAAGCTTGAGACCTCAAGGGACTGCCAGCGCAGATGCAGATGGCGCAGGAAGAAAAGCGAAACAAATTTCAGCTCGTCGTTCGCATCTGTGAAAGCTCGGTGCCCTGCAGGACTCCCGTACCAGCAGTCAGAAGCAAGTGCTTGTTTAGTCAACGGAGTTTTTGCAGGTTGTGGAATCGAAGACCATTTGCCGCCAACGTTTCAGAAAGCTGACACGCTAACCACAACCAGCAAACAAAACCCGTACAAATTAGCATTTCCACCAAGGCATGGTGGGCAACGGCAATCTCAATCTTCTAACTGGACACTGGCATGTCAGATGTGTTTCGAGTTTTTGCTTGCTTTGGCCACGTGGCTCGAGCCTTCGCAACTGATGTGCAGCGCTGCGCCTCCGCAATGGCAACGGCTCTTATCCTCCGGACAAACTTGAACCAAGGGGTTCCTGGCCCTGAACATTTCGAGCTGCGACAACTCCCACGTCCACAGATAGGAGATGGAATTTTGGTGCAGCTTCTCGTCGTAAGTGCTGACCCATACATGCGGTACCGGATACGATCTGACGGGGACTACAAGGCAAATGCGCCGATGCTAGGCTTGGTGGCCGGTAAAGTTCTGGAGTCCAAGGTGTCGGAGTGGGAACCGGGAGACCTTTTCGGGGCAGAGCTGCCATACATTGACATCCAGGCAGTGCCAGCATCTAAGCTTGCAATGTTCCGACGATTGACGGGACTCCTCAGCGAGGATCCTATACATGTCCGTGTGTGTGTGCGTGCGTGCGTGCGCACGCACACAAGCGAACGCGGGCGCGTGCACTTTGTCTTCATTGCATATGCACGACGCATCACCCGAGCAATTCCTGGAGACATCATGTCACAGGAGACCATTAGCCGGGGCATTGGTGCATTGGGAATGCCTGGGCATCTGGGCCTGCACTTATTGCTGACTTGTGTTGGGATGTGTTGTGGGCTGCCATGTCGTGAACTTGCTTTTAGGTCGACCGCGTACGGTGGATTGACGGACATCCTGCGACCGAAGAACGGCGAAGTTCTTTGGGTCAGCGGTGCTGCAGGCTGCCCATGGCAGGGCGTCTGTTTGGATGGCTTGTTAACTTGTTTGTGGTTTTGGATCTCTTGTTATTTCTTGTTGCCTCGTTGTCCTTCAACCCCTTCGATTCCTTTCGAATCCCAATTTCTTCCCCAAGCCCGAACCGGAAAATGGACCCCAGAATCCCCAAACCCTAAAAACCGTAAAAACCAAAGTCTCAGGAGTGTAGCTGCACAGTGCTGTACGCCCCACATGAGTCAGGTATCCACTACGTGGGTCGTCCCACAATCGACCCGCGTAGTCAATTACTGTCAGAGTCGAACCCCTAAACCGAAGAAGCCGCCCTGAACCTAAAGACCTTTTCTTCGAATGCCCACCCCAGAACTCCGAAACCCTTGACTCAATCTCCTACGTATCCCTTTGTTAGTTAGTGAACAGACCAGCTAGGCAAGTGACCGAAAACAAAAATGATCCTGAACAAAATGTGGGGCCACTTCTCAGTGCTGTTAATTCAGCTCGTGCTCCCTAAAACTCGTGAGGAGCTGTTGGCTCCATGGTCGGCATGATCGCGAAACACGTGTTTGGTTGCACCGTCATTGGTTCGGCAGGGGGTCCTGAGAAATGCAAACTGGTTACTGAGCGGTTCGGCTTTGACCACTGCATTGATTACAAGGCATCGAGGGGTGCTTCAGAAAAAGACTGTCATGGTTGTCCGCATTTGAGAGGCTGCTTACTCGGGCTGCTTGTGCTGGCTGCTGCAAACATCCGCTTCGTGACCCACAGGCCTGCCAGTCGACCAGGGACTTGATCATGGCACTGGGCAAGGTCGCCCCTTCCGGCATCGACATGTATTTTGAGAACGTGGGCGGCATGCACTTTGAAGCAGCGATGAAATGTTTGCGGCCGAACGGGCGTGTGGCCGTCTGCGGCGTCATCTCAGATTATAACAACCCCAAGATGTCTCCCAACAAGATTTACATATCCAACATGATCTACACCTCACAGCGGATCGAAGGCTTTCAGTGCTTCCCCTGGCTTAGTGGCGAGCGCGGAAACTTCCTACAGGACATGGCCAAGTGGGTTGACGAGGGGAAGGTCAAAGTGGAGGAGTTCCTTGGCGAGAGATTGTCGGTCATGCAAAGTTGCGGCCGTATGGGGGCCAATAAGATACTGAATCTCTTTGAAGAAGGGGGAACAATACATGTGGGGTGCGCAGGGGCCGGCCATGCAAGGACTGTCTTCCATGGCTTGGAGTCATTTGGCAGCGCCTTTCGGGCTCTTTTCGAAGGAGGCAACACGGGCAAAGCATCTTGGCACAGCATTTTGACGCATTGAGGTGTTGAGTGAAGTTTGGGACAAAAGCTTGCTCACCTCCTCACACAACCCAGCCCAAATCAAACAAGCACTTGCTGACAGGTCGTCGTACGTGTGCAGGCCGGAGCGAAATCGAAGCTTTGAGATTGATTTGGAAAAGGGCGCTCCTAGACGCATTGGCATGCCTCGTTCGTGGTCGTCTGCAGCCCTTCCAGAGTTTGCTTCTCAACGGTCAGCTTTGACGCGTAGGGATGCCAGCACCTAACTTGAAAACGTCAGGAAGCACATGTTGCCGCCTCTTTGCTTCCTGTGATCATGGAATTTGGTCCAAGACCGGCCTCGGCAATTTTAATCCAGAGGGAAGCATGCCATGGTTTGCGCGCCTGCGTCGCTTCTGCGCCTCTTCGGCTGCACAGAAAGTTCCTGCCCACGTAGTGTATTCATGGGGGGCAGGCAAAGAAGAAATGGGTTGACGCAGGGCGTCCCTCGACTTTGATATGCGCAAGGTTGCACCGCGGGCCCTTGGTGGGTCACATGTGTTGGGATGACTCCCGATGAATGGGCTGAGGGATTTGTTAAGCGTCGGGCTACCATCTTGTCCTACGAGCGCGAGAGCTCTTGGACAGCATCGTTGAGCATGTTGGCAAGGATGGCTCCAGAACGGTTCTTCCCAGATGCGGTTTGCTATTGCAGCGTCACAGGTGCTTGTTCGAAAAAGGAAGAGTGGATTGTTGCCCTTGCCATGTTGGACGGCATGGACACAGCGCGACTGATGCCTAATCTGTACGGCTACAACAGTGCCATCGTTGCATGTGCACAGCACACCACCTGGTCTCTTGCGCTTGACATTCTCAACCAGCTCGTCCCACAGAAAGTTTTGCCCGATGTCGTCAGCTACAGCAGCTTCATCAGTTCATGCAGCGCAGTCAGACACTGGAAAGATGCTTTGCGTACAATGGAAGTGATGACACAGGCTTTTGTGGCTCCCAACCGCTTTTCATACAGTGGAGTTATGAGATGCTGTGAAGGGGCGCGCACCTGGCAGTTTGCATTATATTTCCTTTGGGCAATGACAGGGTCTGCCCTTGATCCAGACGTGGTTTGCTTCACGAGCGCAATAAAAGCCTGTGCTGAACTCGGTTTTGCTGTCCACGGCAGTAGGACTTGACTTGTCCACACCTGATAGGGACAGCCACTACTAACGGTACGTCACGAACCGAGGTGAAAAGGCAGAGCAGTGGTCCACAGCGCTCGGTTTGATGGAGCATATGCTAGATCGGGCCATATCCCCAAACGAATTCACATGCAGCAGCCTCGTCAGTGCTTGTGAGAAAGCATCGCAGCGGCACAGTGCGGTTTCTGTGTACGAGGTGATGGTGGCTCGGCAAAGTAAGGTTGTAAGTTAGCTGGTCTGCTCAAGTCTTCACACAGTCTGCCAAAGTCAGGTGGCCAAATTTGTAAATGCTGATCTTGTGGCCTGCAGCGCCACCATCACTTCTTGTGCACGAATCACGGACTGGCCTTTGGCACTGGCATTGTTCTCCGAAATGGCAGAGAAAGATATCAAGCCGAACGAGTTCCTTCGATGAATTACTTGTACCGGCCTTTTCCTGTGGAAAACATGTGAGCGGCCAAGGTACACATACTCTGGTGCAGCCGATGCTTGTGAGAAAGGCTGCAAATGGAAGTTGATGCCAGAGTTGCTGGAGATGCTCGGCCATCGAAGCGGGCTGAACCGACAACAGGGATCGCCAAAAACAGAGCAGCAGCCAGTGATCAGATGTTTTGGAACAAGCTGCATTGAAGAGGCGTAGTGAAGCTGGTTGTTACAGTGGTCGCAAGCCAAGGCTCATGGAACTGAAAGCTGCTAGACGGGTCTCGAATTTGGGAAGGCAGTGGAAGACCAGGAAAACCAGTGCCTACATGTCGGATCTAAAAGTTCAGGAAACGGGTTTCTTGTAAGCTTGTTGAGTCTGAACTGCAGATGTCGCTGTAAGCGAGCGAGAGCCGCAAATCACGAAAATCCCTTGACCGGCCCACGTCCTTTCGAAGTACAGTCGCCTTACAGGCATAGCACCATACAGCCATCGCAGCAGGACGGCACAAGACCCGGCCCCAATAACTAAATACCAAAAAACACAGGCTTTGAGGGGGAGGCGACCTTCTTCCAGCTTAGCCTGGCAAGAAAGCCTGAAGGCCACTCCACCCACTAGCACAGCTTTCCTTTACCACAGACCCATCGGCGCTAGAACAGTTGGGGACTCTACACCGAGATACACAGTGTCACAGAGTCCTTATCGCCTTGCCAGCTTGCCCCAGCTCCCACCCTCAAAACTCCAGCTTTGTTGCGTCAAAGTCGTGCCTCGCCTAAACCCTCAAATCATGTTCCGACCACGCCCTCGGCGATGGCGGCCGCTGCTCTCGCCGCGACACTGCGCCAGCGGCGGCGAGCCCAGGGCGCGACCCGGGGTTTCAGCAGCCACGCCATAAAGGAGTGATCCTCCCTACTGTGAGAGGTACGTCAATCTGCTCATGCAATGCTGTGTCCAAAAAAGCTATCATTTCATGCTGTTCAGTGCTCTCGAAACCGCAAGCCTCAGATCGGAAACCATTGCTTTGGCAAAGCCTGCGAGGTCTTGCAGCGAAGCTTAGCAGGCACATTGGACCTCTTGGCGCCTCGGCGAGACTGGCAAAGCCGTTGCAAAGTGGTCGCTGGAAGGGACACAAGCGGGGACAGAGCGGGGACATGAAGGTACCCTCGTAGCCTGGCATCAGCGCTGCCTGTACCCCCATGTCATCACGTTCGTTGGTTGTGTAGGTGTCCCTCGGGCCGTGAGCCCCCTGAGCCCGTGTCCTTCTCTGCTGTGAGACCATCAACGTCCGCCATGTCATCAGCTCGGTCAAGCTGCGCACGATGGAGGCCTGGGCAAGCAGCTGCATGGACACAGAAGCGGGCGACGACATGGATGTCCCGTCCAGTCTTGATGCTCTGCAAGTCACGTCATGGTTGCCGACATTTTGGCGTAGGTACAGTTTGGAACGGGGCGATTGTTTCTGCAAGCGCTGCTTCTTGAGCCGGTGACAGCAAAATACAGCAAAGCTGCTTTTTGAGCAATGAAGGTCGTGTATCCCAACAACTGGTGCCTCAGTTGCAGGAGCTGAGGGAACCAGGCTGTTGTGGGATAGGGGGCTTGAATGGCTTGAGAAATCTTGAGAATCAGGAGCTCCGGGTTTACGGTGGGATGGGAAGTCTTGCAGATGAACGAAGTCGTTGAGCAGTGCAGAATGGAGGCGTGCTGCCTGCTTTTCTAGGAACAGATCCTGTACGTTGCCAAGGTGTGCACGTGACTTTCGTGCTGGGGCTGCCGAGGCCTACAAGCAAGTTAACTGTGGCTCGACTAAATGTTGGCTACACGTATATGTGCCTATAAATGTATGTATATACTATCTAGACATATGTTTTAAATCTATTTGAACACACTGTCTTTATACACAACTGTACATATACAACTCCGTATATACCACTATACATATACATAGAGAGTGACGGAGGCCGAGAGAGAGCGAGAGAGAGAAATGTACGTTTGTGGATAGGTTATCCTGGACTGTTTTTTGCCGGTGTGGGTGAGGACATGCTGCGTTGCTGTCACAGCTGTACTCTGCGGGTCGAGCGCAACCTATGGTTTTGCGAATGGATTTCTGTAGTTGATTGGGGTGATGGGTTATGGAAAACACACACCGGCCATGCACGACGTGACAGCTGCCTGCCGCTTCAGGCAGGCATGTTGGCCCTCGCCACATAGCCGAAGTTTCATGGATGGATACTCAGGGGAGCGCAGGCGAGAGGGACCTACCTACTGCCCGCCTTTGGTTTCCATCTCCACAGTGAACTACTGGTCCAACTACTGACACCGGGCTGTTTTTTTGCAAGAGTTTTCCTGCTCGAGCCAAGCCATGCACCCAGGCCTCCTGGATCAGGGAGACTTTGTTTCGTTACGACGGGTGATGGCAGATGACCTGGTGGAGGACACTGTCGTTCAATCCTTCAAGAAGCAGCACTGGTTAAGTTTGATACCGGTCTAAGTATTCAGCATGGGAAATACAGGCACTAGCGGCCTTCGGACGCGCAGGACTTGCGCAAGACCCATGCCCAGTTGTCGAAAGGCCTCGCATCACGGCTGAATTCAGATCTCTTTGAAATCACAATTCGTCTCAATCTTCTTGTCCCTTGCATGTACCCGCAGGGCATTGCAGGAAGGGCGTGCGCCAAGACAGCCAGTGCGTGCACGGACCAGAATCCCCAAGACCAAATTGATGCATGTCTGGCTCACTACGTTGCATTTCCATGCCAGAGACTGCGGTGGGTGAAAAAAACTGTTTCTCATACCCTACAAACGGGCCAGTGCTACCAGCAACGGCTTTCCCGCGAACTTTGAGGACTACGAGCTGAAGGAAGTTTTCCAGCTGGGCATTTTCCACGCCATGGTCAAGGTGCTGAATGTTTTTGGAAGAGTATATATATATATATATATACATCGTCTGAGAGAAAGGGAGGGACAAGGCAGTGGCCATAGATAGCTCTATGCTGGCACGTCAGGTGTTTGTAAGGGCTTCACAGTGCCATGGCATTGGTGAACACTCGTCGGGTGCATACAAGGGACTTGCTAGACTCCTTGTTGAATAATGCGCACGACGAGCGACAGCAAGCAGCCTTTCAGAGGCCGAGGAGTTCGGGACCGAGTCAGTGTGTGTCACACCGCTTCTGCGTGTCACGGAGCCGCCTGGCCTGAAGGGGATGTAGAGGCATGTAATGTATATATATATTTTTTTCTTATTTATTTATTTATTTATCTGTTTATTTATTATTTCTTATATTTAGTTTTACTTATATTTATATTTATATGTACACTTATGTTTTTATTTATATTTGTATTTATATTCCTATTCATTTCATAGTTATACTTATACTTAGACTTAGATTCTTATTTAGATTTAGATGTTTTATTGATTTATATTAACATTCAACATTTTTACATAGCTCAGGCCCCCGCCCCACGATCTAGTGCGGTAATTAGGTCTGGGGGAGAGGTTCTCAGCGCATTTCGTTGCATGTGAGCACAAATCAGGCCAAAAGAAATCCTCCTCTGCAGGCCACACCCTGCAAGCTTACATTCTGGGACTTTGGGTTTCGTTCGTAGTGCAATTAATTGGGGCTTATGCGAAGATCACACTCAAAGAAATCCTGATCTCGGCTTGCATCGCAATTACTTCTAGTTGGAATATGGCATTAAAGGGCTTCGCAGGCTTCGTTCAGATCCGGGTCACTTAGAATGTTATATCAAGAGGCCACACCCTAAGATGTCCTCTTCTGTGCCTCAAATTTTAAGCAGACGTTTATATCCTCTCCTGGGCCTCGTTCAACACAAAGTGAAATTCAAAGGCTACATTGTGAGAAAGCCTCTTTTGGGCCTCGTTCGCATGTAGATTTGCCAAGATTTCATATTCAAATGCCACCCCCCATGAAATCCACACACTTAGACATCATATAGACCGTGACAGCCCAAAACCCCTAGAAGTAGACGAGACCGTGACAGCCCCAAACCCCCTAGAAGCGGACGAGACCATGACAACCCAAAACCTCCAGAAGCGCACGAGACCGTGACAGCCCCAAACCCCTAGAAGCGGACGAGACCGTGACAGCCCAAAACCCCTAGAAGCGGACAAGACCGTGAAAGCCCAAACCCCTAGAAGCGTACGAGCCCGTGACAGCCCAAAACCCCCAGAAGCGGACGAGACCGTGACAGCCCAGCCCAAAACCCCCAGAAGCGGACGAGACCGTGACAGCCCGAAAACCCCAGAAGCGGACGAAACCGTGACACCCTAGAAGCGAAAGAGACCGTGACATACCGTTACAGCCCAAAACCCCTAGAAGTGGACGAGGCCGTGACAGCCCAACACCCCCAGAAGCGGACGAGACCGTGACAGCCCAAAACCCCTAGAAGCGGACGAGACCGTGACAGCCCAAAACCGCAGACGAGACCGTGACAACCCGTAACCCCTAGAAGCGGACGAGACCGTGACAGCCCAAAATCCTAGAAGCGGACGAGACCAGCCCAAAACCCCTAGAAGCGGACGAAACCATGACAGCCCAAAACCCCGAGAAGCGGCCGAGACCGTGACAGGCCAAAACTTCCAGAAGCGGACGAAACCGTGACCGTGACAGCTCAAAACCCCTAGAGGCGGACGAAACCGTGACAGCCCACACCCTAGAAGCGGACGAGACCGTGACAGCCCAAAACCCCTCGAAGCAGACGAGGCCGTGACAGAAGCGGACGAGACCATGACAACCCAAAACCCCTAGAAGCGGACGAGACCATGACAGCTCAAAACCCCTAGAGGCGGACGAAACCGTGACAGCCCCACACCCCTAGAAGCGGACGAGACCGTGACAGCCCAAAACCCCTAGAAGCGGACGAGACCGTGACAGCCCAAAACCCCTAGAAGCGGACGAGACCGTGACAGCCCAAACCCTAGAAGCGGACGAGACCGTGACAGCCCAAAACCCCTAGAAGCGGACGAGACCGTGACAGCCCGAAACCCCCAGAAGCGGACGAAACCGTGACACCCTAGAAGCGAAAGAGACTGTGACATACCGTGACAGCCCAAAACCCCTAGAAGTGGACGAGGCCGTGACAGCCCAACACCCCCAGAAGCGGACGAGACCGTGACAGCCCAAAACCCCTAGAAGCGGACGAGACCGTGACAGCCCACACCCTAGAAGCGGACGAGACCGTGACAACCCAAAACCCCTAGAAGCGGACGAGACCGTGACAGCCCAAAACCCCTAGAAGCGGACAAGACCGCGACAGCCCAAAACCACTAGAAGCGGACGAAACCGCGACAGCCCAAAATCCTAGAAGCGGCCGAGACCGTGGCAGCCCAAAACCCCTACAAGCAGACGAGACTGTGACAGCCCAAAACCCCTAGAAGCGGACGAGACCGCGCATATAATTTACTACGAAGAGAGCACAGTGAGAACAATTGATCAGTGAATATATGAACGCATTATTCGGACGAGCAAGAGAAAAAAGTGTGCGCGGAGTTTCATCATTAAAACATGTAAGGAACGTAGTGACCGCGCGATATTAATATTATAACGTACAGCATTAACGGGGCTTATGAAGATCTTTTCGCTGCCCTGCAATTTGAAATTGGATTTCTAAAGATTGAAACCTTCATGAACGACTCTGGGGCTCTGGGGAAGAACGCCCATTAAAACATATAAAATTCATGCGTGCCTAATGATTCAATATATTTTGATGGGGTTTCGTGGGGTCATCTTCTGGGTTTCATTCGTTTGGGGCCTCTTCGTTACACGTCACTGAAAGTGTGTTTTAGAAGGCCACACCCTAAGACATCCTCATCTGGGCTTCTTTGGTAATTAAACCCAATTAGAACAATTATAGTAGTAACCCTCCTCCACACCCGAAGAAATCATCATCTGGCTCCGTTTGTATAATTAATAAAACAGAACACGCCCTAGCACATTCTCTTCTAAGCCAGTGAACCTACTGAGAATGCTAAATTACAAGGCCACACCTTAAGAAACACACCCTAAGATGTCTTCATCTGGTCTCGTCAGAAATAAAGTCTAAGAAGAATGTTGTTTTCAGAGGCCTCATTTATACTTCGCTTTAAATCAAATCCGATTTTAAGTTACCAAAATCCTCCTCTGAGCCGGGTTCGTACTTAGATTTAAGGATAGGGAGAATGTTGTCCGGCCTCCCAAGCCACCCCTGGAAGGGCCCGAAGGGGGGTTGGAAGTTGGTTTTCTTGGGAAAAAAACTGTATTTTGGCGGTTTTTGAGTCCCGGGGAGGGAAAATACCAAGAATCGTTTGGCTTTCCTGCTATTCATCCAAATAAGCGCACATGGTTGTGGGTTTTCCACTCCGAAACTAAACAAAACATGTTTTTTTGGCTATTACCAAAAACAAATGAGACAACCCCAAAACCAATCGACCGGCTGTAAACCGAAAGCATATATACAAAAATGAAGGAAAACGATGTCGATGCATTGTTCGGTGTTTTCAGCTTGAGCCTGAAAAACGAACAGTGCCAACGCGAGCATGTCCGTTGTTAATGCATATGAATCGATCGACTACATAAGAAAACCTTCCGCACATATCCAAATGAAAAAGTATTGATTGTTACGACGTTTGTCATAAAAACCCGCCACGGCAGATCACGAGGGGACGGGGGACACACATATATGTGTGTGTGTGTGTGTGTGTGTGTATATATATGCGTAAAAAATATTGCATGTGTATCTATAGTTTTGTACATACAATTGTCATGCCACAACGGGGAGAACAAGGGCAATGAAGCAATTAGGGCTTGCTTGCGAAAGCGTGGAGCCTTCCGCTTGCTTGGAAGCCAAGGAAGTATACTTTGCAGAAGGCGTGTGCCGAGTTGCATACTAGTCCTGGCGCAGTGCTGCATAGACCATAAGCACTACCACCGGCAATCGGATTCTCAAACTGCCATGTCTGGCAGGATCCGAGCGTTTGGTGGGAGGCCACCTTGCGGGCTTATGTTTCGGCCAAACCTGCCACCAACCTGTAGTAGGGCCCCAGGGTATTCAGACACAGCGCTGCGTTGGCGGAATGCTGCAGGTTCGCAGACTTCACAAGCGCCTTGGCAGTTGCTATGGTATGCTGAGGGGGCCGCACGTGGCACTTGAGCATGATTCCACACACTAGAAGCCCAGCATTGACATCTTCGATGTCAAAGGACGTTTTTTGCAGGCATCACGGCCAAAATGTCGTCCACGCGCCGTTGTTAATGGTGCTGAGATTTCTTGGTTCACCTGAGATGGACCTTCAAGCGGCATTTGCCCGATGAGCATGGCAACGAGGCACCAAGCACGGGTTCGTTCTGACCTTGTCTTGAGAGGCTTCGGCCAAGACTAATCTTACTGTAAGTCTCTGTGGGTTAGGCTTGCGGCTGCAAAAAGTCCTATTCGACCCGGAATGCACAGAACCGACTCCATTGAGCACTAACGAGCGAACATCAACGACGGGTTTGATTGGGTCTTAAGAGCCTCTGCCTGCAAGGCCTCAGACTGGCATATCGTTGCCATGGACAAGCGTCGATGGCGACCCCCTGGGCCGCTCGGTGTGAGCTTGTTGAGGTGGCTCCAGCGTTTTAGCTGGCTGAAGCTGTGAAGTACTGCCTTCGTCCCTGTGTTGGTAGCCCAAGGCTGAAAGACGAAGACAGCCCGGAGAAAGAGCGTGAGGAATGATCCGCGACTGCGAGGATGGACGACAGTTTTCTGCAAGCCCCACGGCGCACCTCAAAATAAGGATGCTCTACTCTCCTGTGCTGGCGATCTGAGACCCCGGACGTGCTCTGGACGTCACCGAAAGAACCAGTTCATGTCCGGTTCATTGTTCATGCCAATTCGGGGTTTTCCCTTACGGAGAGAGAGTGTGAGAGTTGCTCGGCAGCAGGGTTCGAGCTCGATGGGCAGAAACCCTGCCATTGCATCCTCGCTTTGCAATATGGAAACGCCAGGTCTGCCAAGCACGTCGCCAAAAACAGCACCCGAAATCCACAGCGACGCAAGATTGTGCAAGCGTTCCTTCGAGCACAGGGTTTTGGCTCAAGTCTTTGCACGGCCCGCCCGTCATGCGGGACACAGTAGCCGCGCTGCACTTCAGCTCTCCAGGGCTGGGGTCAACTCCGTCGTGGCGACATATCACGACAAAAGGCATCTGTTTTTGGTTGCATGCAGCTGATGCACTCTGTCGACATGCAGCGGACACGCCGCTTGTCCCCTCCCCCGCCTCCTCGCCTTCCCTACATCCACCGTCATGCTGAGATTTTGCAGGGCTTAGATTTCTTGAGTTTGGGGCTTTGAGAAGGGTTTTGGAATTCCATTTGCTGGACCGGGCTGCTGTGAACCGAGGCCTGCTGTAGAAAAGGAACTCCATTTGGGGCTCAGTTCGGGTTCAGGTTAGGGTTAGGGGGGTGGTCAGCAGTCCACCCCCCCCCCTGCGCAACCCCAAAAAAGAAGCTTAGGGAGGCGACCTGCGGTTAAACTGCGGCTCAGTCATCAAACAACCGTGGCCCACTGCTGCCCAGGCAATTTATCTACTCTCTCTGGCCGGGCTGGCGGCACCTTTTGCCGCGCTTTTCTGGTGGCTCGGTCGAGGATGTTTGCTACTTTTGGGTTGCGGACTTTCTAACCCCCAAAAGAAGGTGAAGATATCAAGTGCTCAACACTGGAGTGAGGGGCCCAAAAGAAGGTGCAGATATCAAGAGCCGTGGCGGGAAGAAGAAGAGACAGAGAGAATGAAAGGCAGAGAGAGGGAGAGACACGGGTCGTGCAGCAGGAAAGAAAAAAGGAAGGACGGGAGAGAGAGAGAGAGAGAGAGAGAGCGGGAAACCCCGTCGTGGCCGGATGGGCGGGCCCTAAAGCGTGCAGAAGAAGAAGAGGAGGAGGAGCAGGAGCAGGAGGAGGAGAGAGAGAGAGAGAGTCAAGGGTTGTGTTGCCAGAGGCTGACGCCGGATGCCCTCAATGTCCAGCTGTTGCAACTTGGCCAAGCTGGCTCGGCAAAGCGACAATTTGATAAAGTTCAATGCAAAGTCCCAACATAGACGCCACACCTGTGGATGTGCTCACCCCAACGGAGCAGTCATGTCCATCTCAGCACAGTTGAAGAATCCTCCCACCTGCTATGACAAGTCCCATGCTGCGCGCTGTTTCATGTCCAAGTCTGATCGTCAAGTCTCAGACCGACACACCCAAACAAACACGGAAGGAGGATGACTGCGCTGTTGGCTCATGAAGCCTGCTGAGGTTCATGATGCTGTGTTGTGGCGTAGGCCTTGCCGCAGGCGGGATTATGATTCATGACACGTGGGCAACTCGGCTTGTCATGCGGCTTTGTGAGGTGAGGCTATTCTAGATTCCTTGAAGCTGAGACCCCTTTTTCCAGAAATATGATCACCCCAAGCCCTCAGGGCACAAGGCCTCCAAACACTCCCAAAATCATTCCCCAGCCTCAAAAGCCCTCTTAACCCAAAAACTCCCAACCAAAGGATGCCCATGCCAAGACTAAACCAAGAAAATGAGCCCTCATTCTTTTGCTTTGCCTGCGGGGTTCCCGAGACCACCCCCCCGAACTGGGGTGTTCAGAAAGGATTGGATTCAGACTGCGAAAGCTGAAAAGGGCTGGATTTCTGGATTTACTGCTGAGACCCGCGGCCCCTAGAACGAAAGAATCTCGCCCCCAAAGCTGAGGGCATTTTTAGTACTGACTGCACTGTTTCTTTTTCCTCGCGATATTTTGGGCATCAGCTCTCGGTCGAGCCGCTCTTGTAACCAACATCTTTTTCTCTTAAGCAGCGCAGTGCTTGACACTCTGCCACATATGAACCTCTCACCAAAAAAACGGCAGGCGTTGATAGCTGCCGCAGCAATGGCCAAGAGACTCTCCTGCCACAGGCTGGCTGCAAAGCATTGCAACACAGTTGTGTGCAAAGCTGAACTCTGAGAGAGATGCCAAAGCTGCTGGATAACGAGTGCTTCTACTGTTGTGCCCTTGCCGGGCGGGCCCAATACTCCCTTCAGGATACCGTGCGAGGTGCCATACGCTTGAAGGAAGATCTGGGTGTCACGTACGACGCACGGAGCCCAGAGGCGTTCTGCAGGGGCTTTCAGATGGGATGCTCACACCTTGCAAATCTTGCAAATTCAAGGAGCGTGCACTGATGCGGGACCATGTCACAGAGATGAAGTACGTGGGATTTCTGTTCTTCGCCTTCCGACTGGCCGTGAATATCAAGGCCTTCGAAGGGTCGCAATCTGTGCTTTGATGGTCAAGCCAGTCAAGCCCGGGCTAGGCCCTCTGGCGCAATATGATGGTGGTCTGCGTGGAGGATTTGCCACTGACAGTGGGGCACCTTGCCCTCTTTGGAGCCATACGACTGGCAAAGAATCAGATGCCATGTCCACACCCCCTCCCAAACTCACCGCACGCGTGTGCACGCTACACAGTATTACACAGTGTTGTGTTCAGTACTTCCATGTGCTTCCTGAACTTCCTGGCCACCTCATCCTCTTCGGCATACGTTTTGAACGTGGCAGTACAAGGCCGAGACATCCTCAGAGTCCACGAGCCTCTGAAAGATTGTGAAGATATACATGGTATGCTCTAGAAAATGCTCTTAAAACAATCGGGAAACCCACGATCCTGAACCCTCCGCAGCCAACAGCTCCTCAGGAGCGCAGCACGTGTACTGGAGGCAGGGATCTTCCTGGAGCACCTTTGTGACTTGGCCTGAACGTTGTTTTGGGTCTCGAAGCTGCAAAAATGATAGCAAAAATGCAATCCCGATCTCGCGAGCGAAACCACATCAGCCCTGTGCTGGCAAGGCAAGCTGCCCTGCGAAATCTTGAGCTGTATGTGCGGAATTCATGCCAGCCCTTCTCAGTGCGTTGGCACAGATGCTTAGCGGCAGTCAATGCAGGGAGTGGCAAGACACGAGGGTCAGTGCACTGTAGAGCTGTCTTCAGGTGAAGACCCTGGCAGGCTTCTCAGCCATGCGATTTGTCAGGCAGGGCCCTTTTCAGATCCTGACGGCTGAGGGGTTCACTGCGATTTCGGGTTGGCAGCTGACAGGTTGGTATAGGCTACCAGCACTGGCTTGGACTGTGCTTGGCTGGATGCGGAAGTTCCAAAGAGTCCGAGAATCCCAAGACAGGTTCTTGAACAAGCGGCACATCTTCGGAGCGCTCCGTAAAATTGCCGCAGATCCCAATATTTTCAAGGGCTGCAGCTCGGCTGCAGTCGGGCTGGAAATGCTGGGTTGATTCACACGCGCGCGCGCGCCCACACACACACACACACACATACACAGAGTCTCCAGAAGTGGTATATCCTAGAGTCAATAACTTTTCTATCCTAATTCTTTTACTTTCATATCTTTTCCTAATCCTTTCTATAATCTCAGAATTTGGAGATGGTACAGGATGAACATTTTTCCACCATTATACACTTCTTTTGTGACTTTATCACCTTCAAGTACAGGAAATCTTATATTTGGATTATTAATCTCTGGTATATCTTCATGTCTTACATCTCTCAACTTTTGGACAACAATTCTAAATCTGAGATCTTATTATCTGACATTAAAGACTATCCCATTATTTCCTTGGGCTTTCTTGATTACAGCTTTCATGCTTTTATTAACATTACCAATCTTATCTGGTACACCTCTTTTAATATTGGGTGATCTTACACTTTTCTTTGATCCTATATTTGGAGGAGATCCTACATTCTATCAACATTTATTTCGGTTTTTTGGACATCCAGAAGTTTACATCTCAATACTTCCTGCATTTGGGATCATTTCCATAATAATTTCTGGGATTTTACAATTAATAATCTTTAGCAACCAATCAATGATCTTTGCCATGTCATCTATGTCTCTTCTACACACACACACACACAGACTTTTGCCACGTGGACAGTCTACGCAACGGGCTTCTCTAGCTTGGCTCCCACCCATTCGAGGATTCAGCAAGGGGGCGCCACTTCCAAGGTGCACGCGCGCGCTTCCAAGGTGCACGCGCCGTCTGTGTCCAAGGTGCACGCGCAACGTTGGGGACCTGCGCAGGGCCGAGTGTTCTTGTACCCTGAAGCCTCAACCGTAAACCCTTAACCCTAAGGCCCAAGCCTTAAAACCCCTCAAAGCCCTCTCCGACCCGTGCCACCCAACCCAAAACCCTAAACCCTAAACCCTAAAACCCCCTAAACCCTAAACCCTAAAACCCCCTAAACTCTAAACCGTAAACCCTAAACCCTAAAACCTAAAACCCCCCAAACCCTAAACCCTAAACCCTAAAACCCCCTAAACTCTAAACCGTAAACCCTAAACCCTAAAACCTAAAACCCCCCAAACCCAAACCCTAAACCCTAAACCCTAAAACCCCCTAAACCCTAAACCCTAAAACCCCCTAAACCCTAAACCCTAAAACCCCCTAAACCCTAAACCCCTAACCGGAAAACCTAAACCCCTAACCCGAAACCCTAAACCCTAACACCCCCTAAGCCCCCTAAACCCTAACCCTAAACCCTAAACCCTAAAACCCCCCAAACCCTAAACCCTAAACCCCTAAACCAGAGTGTCCGAGAGGTCAGCTAAGCGGGTGGCAAAAAAAAAACCCTAAACCCTAAACCCTAAAACCCCCTTAGACCCTAAAGCCTAACCCTAAACCCTAAACCCTAAAACCCCTTAAACCCTAAACCCTAAAACCCCCTAAACCCCTAAACCCCTAAACCCTAAACCCTAAGCCCTAAGCCCTAAACCCGACTCGTGGCACCCAAACGAGCGTGGGGCTCGTTTGGGTGCCAAGATCCTTGAAATTAACCCTAAACCCAGCCACTTCCAAGCTGCACGCGGCACTTCCCGGCACTTCCAAGCTGCACGCGGCGCTTCCAGGCTGCACGCGCTCTGAAAGCCCTGGGCAGCCACCCATTTGGAAGTTTCCGGAATCCGAAAGCTTCGAAATACGTGGTAAAAACCAATGAAAACAAGACACGTGTGCGGCCTGGACGCGGGAAAGACCGTGATTTGCTGTGTGCGCCCTGGACGCGGAGATGCGTGCGCCTTGAACGGTCCGGCCCAGCAAGGTGCACGTTAGAACTCAAAAGACGACCCTGGCCTACCCCGAAGTAGAAGCTACAGAGCCCCGCCGCGAAACATGGCAGCACATGTGCCACTATCACGATGTTCCACTTGATGCTTACGTCATGGGTTTAGCTTATCAGGTTACTTGGTGCTGATCGGCGTCCTTTACTCCTTGGTGCTTGCTGGCTTCGGCCTGTCGGTGCTGCTGACGAAGCTACGCGGCCTGGACATTCAAGCGATGGAGTCTGCTGGTGCACCTCGGCTGGGAGCGGGCTGGGGGCTTCGGTTTGTGCTGAGATGCTGCAAAAGCATGGGAAAAGTGCATTTTGAAGGCATGAAACAGGGCCTTTTCAGTGTTGCTTCCCAGGTCCTTGGCCTCTTTCAGGCCGCCTGGGCAGCCCTGACCTCTCATGGACTCTCCGCCTTCATGGCCACAGACCTCATGGAGCCTGGGAGCGGAAACAGAGGAATTTGAGTGGGGATGGCGAAAAGCACGCCCCATGCTGAATGCAGCGCTTCATGATCACATCCCATCCAACATTGCTTGTTCCTGCTTCTAGGATTAGAACGGAGCGAGAACCTCAGGAATTGGTGGAGTTTACGAACCAGGCGCCCTGGCTCGCACAGCACGGCTTCGGGCGGACGAAGCCAGAAAGGCCCTCCAGCCGGCCACGAGCCTTTGTGATCTCAGCCAATGTTCAGCCTCCGCTTGAACATTGCATTTGCATCATAAGCGGCCTTCTCTCAATCGTTCGCGCGGCACTCCGCAGCCATCGCCTCCCGCATGTGTTCGACGACGGTTGCGCAGGAAGCTTATGAAGACCCCTGCATTGTTGCAAATGAGGAGCTTTGACCGACCCGAAACAAGCCGAAGCAACCCAACGCCCAGGAAGGAGCCATGCCTGTGAGAAATTAGACTGAGAAGGTTTGAGGCTGCACTTGCCTAAACATCAGGACCGAAAGGCGCTGGGCCCCGAATTTCTTCGTTGAAGGCCTCTCAAGCCCTGGCACTGCATTGAACCGAAGCCCTTATGGGTGCGGTGCTCTTCTGTTCAACCCGGAATCCCCATACCCGAACGAAAGCGAATCCTCCACATAATTCTGATTCCCAGGCGTGAAACCAAATCGGCTGGCAAAGTCTTAAGCTTGTGCGGAACGTCAGCTTTCTAACCAAATGCCTGAGCAGAATGATAGACGATGGCGGACAACCCTAGACAACCCCATGAGCTCGGGAATGAGGGGTCTTTCAGTCTGGCAAGAAGTCGTTGTTTCCGGTTAATTACAAAAACCACTCAAAGGAGATGCCTGACAACGCTACACCACCCCCTTGAGCTACAAAAGAGTGAAGCCCGAGGTAGCTTCAGCCATGAACATCAAGGAGGAAGAGATGCACAGCCTCCTTTCTTTCCTCCTCGGCTGCTCGGGCTTGTCAATCCATGCACAGGGTTTTCGGAAAAAGTGCCTAGGCACGTCAGGCAAACCTGTGATTTGCTCCTCACTGGGTCACGAGTTTTTCCACTGCACTTGCTGCCCCGACAGGAGACAAGGACCACCATCGGGCTCAAGCCTACATGGACGCTGGGCTGTGTTGTGGCTGCTTATGGCCGTAGCTCTGGTCTTCTCGACCAGGGGCCAGGCCTGCAGGATCCGAGTTAGAGTTGCAGCTGAAGATAGCTGAAGGCAGAACGGGAAGCGTTTCCTTTGCTCCCTTCATGGTAGAACGGCCCTGTGACTAACTCCCCTACAGACTCTGGCCGGGATGCTTTCGACCGAGGGGGTGCTGCACCTACTACTACAAAACAGTGAGAGCTGAGAAGAGCCTGCAGCTTGAGATAAACGTCGGATACAACTTTTTTATGCTGGCACCGAAGCACCTGCTGAGGACACCGTGATGTCGAATTTTCTGAAGCTGCCGCGCTGGAGCAGCCGACTGGTGGCCATGATCACCTTCGACGCAGAGGGCCTGCAGACACTTGACAAATGACGGCTCAGGGCTTTCGGATTCCGGGGTTTGCTGGGGAGCTTTTGTGGGCGAAATGCAAGAATTTTCAGGAAGTGAAGGGGCTCTTGATGCAACTTTGTGTGCGTTTGTAGAAAGGGTTATGAGAAAGCAGTTTTCTCCAGCCGTGCTATCCATGCCTCGTGTCATCATGCATCCAAACCATCCAGAGATCATTCGCACGAGAGCTCGGAGAAAGTATGCAAAAATGGCTAGAGCCTGTGGCCGCTACCAAACGTCGACCTTGCAAACCCCCCTCCATTTCCAGGCGACTGGTGCGTGAAAGGAATATACCCTGATGCTGCTGGTCGAAGCTTGTACAGTTGTTTTTGGGGGCCTGGGCGAAGCATTTGAGCCTGGTCCATTGCCGTTCCAAGGACCAGACCCGAACACGCAACGACCTGCCAGACCCATAAGTTGTGCAGCGGTACATGCGAAGTTTGCCAAAACACTTAGCATTCGCAGCAACTCCCTCAGTTTACTCTGAATCTCGAAAAGCCCTTCGATTTGCGTGTTGGGTGGCTGATTGGGACCCAAGGGCCCAACAGCAGAGTCTCAAAGGCTCCAGATCTCCCCCCTTTCTTGCTTTCTTTGCTTTTCTTGCTGCTGTTGATCAGGCTGGTGTGTTCTCTTCTTGTATCCAAAGGCCGGCCAAGTCCCTTGTTGAGTCTCTATGAGTTTTCTGACGTCCTCCAGTTTGATCAACTCCCTCTTGAAGTGTCTCTTGACTTCGGAAAATCGCGGTGCAATGGCAATGAGCAGGGGTCCTGCATCAAATGGCTAATCGAAGCTAGAAAGGAAAGGTGCCAAAGGCCTCCAAGCCGTCCAAAGCGTTGTTCCCCCAAGCCGTTCCGGCAATCATTTCAGCCTGTTCCACTTCCCAGGAAACCAGTTTAAATGTCTCGAGACACGGCCACACCCCCATCTGAATGTTTCGCGGCCAGATGAGGACCCCTGCGTTCCATGGCCCATCTCGTGTGTTCGGGCAAATGCACCAAGAAGTGTTTGAACCACGGACGCACAGTTCGGGCGCAGCAAAGAAGGCCACCATGTAACGGGAAGCTCGCAAGTACGCTTTCGTGATTCTGGATTTGGGAACATGAGGTATGCGCATGTTTGGCACTTGGCGCCACTAGCCAGTACGGATGCCTCGCTGAGAGAAAGATATGGCTGGCAGTGTTGCCGTTCGGGTCGGGGCTTCAGGTGTCGGTGTTCTTGCTTCGGGATGCCAGATGCCACGAGACAGAGTGGGCTCAAGGAAAGAAGGCCGAGACAAAACCCCCGAACCTCTTCCAATCCTGCACGTCGGTTACAACACAGCATTTGCCCTTCAAAAGCTTCAAGGCTTTCGCTGAAGTGCAGTGCAACTTTTCAAGCCCAAGCCTGAGCGTTGACTGTCGCATGCCATGTCGCATGACGCGCAGCAGACGGCTGGTGATGAGCAGGCTTGGTTTGCACACCATGAGCTGAAGCCTCCAAAGTCACGCCAAGTTACAAGGGAGGGGTGAAGGTCTTGGGGTAGCTGTCTCCGGACGTTGCGTACGCTTGTGCGTACGCTTGTACAGGGCAGACTTCCTAACAAAACATCATGCAGGGACATGTTAGTTGCCCAAGCTCTCGCATAATGTTGTGAACTCCGCCTTGCCGGCGTGGCAACGTCGCATGCGTAAAGTATAAAGCTGGTGGGCTCTGACCCGTCGACGATCTCGACTACGCTCAGCACGATCCTCTCGGGTAATCATCTGTCCACTTCACGATGTCCAGCCAGCCGCATCGACACACTCCTTATCCAACTCTCAGATTCAAGAAGCTCCTTTGGGTAATTCGTTGTGGACTCGGCCTGCTCACGTTTAAGACAGCTTCATAAGTATTTGTTTCCGGTGGCACAACACCACACACACGACCAGAGCGGAAGCTTCAGCCCCGGCCGAGAAAGCGAACTGAACGTCCGGAGTCCCCGCAACCTGGAGGCCTTAGCACCAATAACAAAAAGGGCTGCAGGCCGTACGCTGACGAGGGAATACATAGCAAAATCAGCATGATGTGTGAACGGCATGTGTGTGTGTGGTGTTTCATCACGATTTGGGTCTTGGCGGGACTTTCGCAAGATAACTGCATGGGCAAGGCTTGAGTTTTGCAGCCGCTGTCGCAAGGTATCCGCCTCTGCTGGCATCGACATGCAGCATGTCAACGATGTAGTGTTGGAGTTCGATGGTGCTTCGAAGCCGGTGTGTTCGGCACTGCTGCGTCTGGCCTCACCAGTTTTTGACAGAATGCTGGGTTCAGGCATGCAAGAAGCGCAGCAGGGATCCATCAAAGTGGAAGTGGCGACGCCGGGGGATTTTGATCTCTTCTACAGCCTTCTGCTGCCAGGCGAGTGGAGTCCCGACTTGGTCACCGAGAAGAATGTGGATGCACTTTTGGGCCTCAGTGACTACTACCAGGTCAGATTCATCAAGAAGGGTTGTGAGAAACGACTGTTGCAGTCACCTGTTACCAAGGCAAGGCTGATGCAGGCTCACCGGCATGGCCTCAAAGAGCAATGCACACGCTGCGTTGACTCCTTGGCGGCACTTCTCACAGAGCAAGACCTGGTGGAAATTGGCAACGCGTCACCAGAGCTGCTGTTACAAGTCGCGTTGGCCGTTCGAAAGCAAGCGCTAACCATGCAGAGGCGCGTGGATGAACTCGAACCTGCATTGAAGAAAGCGAAGACTTGTTTTGAATCCGTGCAAAGCCTGACAAACAATCTGTCCGCTTGCACGCAAGGGCTTCAGGAGAGGCCCGGATATCATGGGATTCATGGGCCATTACGCGAATACACGCTTGACCGGGAGAATGGCGACAAACTGAAGAGTATTCGAGATGGAATACACGCGCAGCTGTCTAGGTTTAAACTTCCGTGCTAAGACCGAAGATTGCTCAATTCGACAAGGCCCAACAATGCCCACGGCTCGACAAAAAGCTTTGCATGTTTTGCTGAGCCTGTTTGTGTAGGCTGCAAAGGTGTATCCAAGCCTGTTGGTTATGTCAAACAGCCTCCCAATGCCCCCCCTCCCTCAAGTGCTTTGAAGCGCTCGTGATGACTGCCATTGGTCTCTTGGCCCAAGATGCTTATCGGATGCTTCAAGCAAAACCTGTGCAGGTTTTTTTCATTCGAAGCACTTCGACAATTAGACGGGCGGGCTTTGGGTTTAGGGCCTAGAGGGATCTGGGGTTAGGAAAAAAAACAAGAGTCGGGATTTTGTACCGTTTGTCATGACGCAAGCCGGCACTGCCATTCATCGGTATCCGCCAAGTCTACATCCAAATCTTCTAAAAGATGCTTGTACGTGAACGCTACGAAGGCCTCCCGATATGCCCCAACTCAATCAGGAGGGTCTGACTCGAATACACAAGCCCTGAAATAGGAGGACGCTTTGAGACCACCCTGAAGTGAAATCCGGGACAGGGACCATGTTCAGTTCGGAAGGCTCGTCCAGTGCAAACTTGCCCGAATGGATGCAAAGCATTTCTTGGTTCATGAGACCTGCTGGAAGTCAATTTTCAAGATACGCGTCAAGTAGTTCTCTCATGTCCACAAAGGCAGCCGTGGCCTGCGAACAGAGACAGACACCATGGTACAGACAAAGGGCTTATTAGATCGCAGCAGCCACCTCAGGCCAAGTTGTTTGATTTGTTCCGAATAACAAGCCTTGGGCCTACTTACTGTCGAGTTCAGGGTTTTGGCTACAAGCTTTGAAAGAGCGAGTCAGAGCTACGTGGCGTTTGGAAGTAGTAGCCTCCTCTGGCCTCTTTGCGTCGCTCTCCGTGAAGATGCAGCTCTCCACAGAAGTGAACAAGGCATCTCTCCTGCAATTCTAGGGGTTGAGAAGTTCCAGACCTCCCAGCCGTAACACCCCGCCTCCTTCCGATGACCCCTTGGCGATTCTGCAAACATTCTGCCGCTCTTACAGTACACTCAGAGCACACGAGCCGCCAAGCCTTTCAAATGTCGAAGGCTGGGGTCCCTGCGAGACATCGTCGTAACGGAAGACATGCATCCAACTGCGTAACGCAGCTATCGGCGGGCACATGATTTGCAGACCAAACACAGCCACTACCTTCATCCCTAGGTTTTCGAGAGCATCCTCCTGGCTCCAATCTCAGCGTTGGCACGCTGAGACTATGTGACTCGTTGTTTATGCGTGTCAAAGGCCAGGCAATGCCATGGTGAACAAGATGCTGTGACTGAGGCAGTGCAACAAGGGCAAGAGGCCTGCGAAACGAAGTCCGCGTGTCGGGACAACAGGATCCAGTTTTATGAGGTTTTGTAGGGTGGTCAATGGGAAGGCCCCAAGCACGTCAGCCTGAGGTTGAACTTAGGCACAGACTTTGTGGATTGGAACGCGTTTGGACAACTACAGCTACAACGGGAGCACGACCTGCCCGGTCGTGCAAGTGTCTCTAGTAGAGCTCAGCCCACATCCCGAATTGCAGCATCTTGTGTGGCAGTGTGGCGCGCTTGGCGTGGTTCTTTCTTTCGGCGGCCTCAAAAAGTGTTATTTGTCAAGGCGTCGCAGGACGCCATCCCTGAAGCCCCAAGCTGCAAGCGTGAACCTTCAGCCCTGTTAGCTCTGGCCGTTGCACTGCAAGCCCTTTCCCGAAGTGCAACGGCCAGAGCTAAGACCTTTCTCGAAGTCTCAGAGATCTGGAATGGCCCGGATCAACCCAGAGTCCTCAGCTCTTGAGCCCCGAATCTTCTGCAGGTGCTCGTCTCGGTTGCTCAGCAGAATGAGGCCCCCAGAAGATGGAGAGTCTACTAAGTCTCGAGGGTGTTGGGGATGTTGAGGATGTTGGGGATGTTGGGGATGTTGGGGGCCTGATGAGGGGGGGGAGGGGGGGGGCGCTGCAGTGATAAGGGTACATTCAATGTGCGGGAGTTATAAATCTGAGGTGTTCAACACCTGAAAGCATCGTGGCACCATGTGTTGGCCTCCTGAGATTCGACAGGAGAAAATGGCACAGGCCGAGGTCGACTCCAACGAGCAGAAGGCCTGGGATTTAGGGTTTAGGAAAACCTCAATCGCACTGAGTGTCGTGAGTTGGTTCCTGTCATCTTGTTGGAGATTGTTCCTGAGTCATGGGTTAACACTATTTATGGTCTGTAGTTGGATTGCACCGCTTAACATGGGCGGTGGGGCGTTGCTCAGAGAGCATTGCCTATCGGGCTGCAGACGGCAGCTGACGGATTCCCGAGTCTGCGAGAGAGAGAGAGAGAGAGAGGAAAAAGGGTTTAGGGTTTAGGGCTTCCTGACAAGAAACTCCCAGAACTGCATGCTGTGGACTTTCGCTACTTGCGTGAACAGCGTGCCAAGGTCGCTCATCGGCCCCGTTTCAGCCATGAAACACCTGTCGATTTCAGTAGGCTCCCCGCATTGTACGATGCTTGAAAGCTGGACCTCTTTAAAAAGCGGAAGCTGAAGTCCGAAGTAGGGAGAATGATGGCCCTCCCTGGGCTATGTTTGCCCCTGAGGCACAAGTGGAGCAGCGACTGAGTTGCAAGGGTTTCGGACATGCAGTTTCGTTGTGTCGCACCAGCCGATAATCAACGAATCCCAAAGCATCGCGGCCCTTGTTACAACGAAGGACCGGTCATGGACCGGAAGATGGGTAGGCAGACTGGTATCCCTTCCCAGCAGCAACAACAACAGCCCACCCCACGTCTTTGAGGCTTGCCGCCGAGGTGGGGTGCTTTGCAATTTCGGTCTCTGGGCTCCTGGTAGCCTAGAATGCTTTCGCCTGGGGTGCATTCTGCATGCATCCCTAACAGACTTCAACTGTTTTCTGGAGGTCCGCACTGGCCACAAGCACCCCCGGCGCAGGCCTCACAACATCAACAAGACAGTGAAGAAAAGGCTACTTGTGCTGCACCCATGCTCACCAGCACCAGGATGTCTGAAGCTTTGGATTTGGTAATGTTGTGAGTACAACTGGTACCAATACTTGGCCATGGAAGGGGGCAATGGAAGAAACAAGTGTGCAGACGTTTGTTTTCCTGGCGCGAACTTCTCAAAGTGATTGTCGTTCTAGACCATGTCTTTAAGCTGCTCCCCTGAATGCAAGCGCACAAGAAAGGTCCCGGGTTGTGGATTCCCAGATGCTTCGAAATGGCGTCTCAGGAAATGAGGCTGCAGACTATGTCGGAAGAGAATAGGCGGGGGACGGGGATGTACCGGGGCTGCACCTTCAAACTCACTCCGCCAAGCCAGCCTGGCCCAAAGCTCCAATCATCTCGAATGAGCCTCGAGAGGACGTCGAAGTCGAAAACCCTGTAGAGTCGACGTCCCAGCACACTATGCCACATCTTATTCACAATTGACCATGTATTCACAATCTCCAAGATACTGGGAATCCTTTCGGTCCTTTCCCCCCTCCCCCCCCCCCCTAGTCGCCCCTGGAGGAGCCTTGCAGAGCAGGTCCGGCGGCTTGAGGACGAGGTCAAAGGCACAACTCGATTGAGTAAAGTGGAAGCTGGGTGCAAGAACCGTTTTCCCCTGCATCTTGGGAACCTGACAGGGCTCCGGCAGCAAGTTCTGCAGATGAAAGGGTGCATGCCTCGGGTTTCTGGCAAGATGAGTGTGCCCAGTCTCGGCCTTGAGGGGAACCTTTAAGTGCTGCTTGCACCAGGCCTATTGCCAAGCCCTAGAGCGGGCCCTTACAGCATGTGACACCTTGACACAGATATCACAGATCGAGTCTCACCTGATGCATGACAAGGTATGAGCCTGGTCTGTCGTGATGTAGCAGTATGAGATCGCAAGTGCCTACTGGAGGCAAGAGACATCATTGGACACGGAGGCAAAACCTGCGTCAGCGCAGGCCGGACTAATAGCAAAAATCGGTGGCCGAAACAAATCATAAGAATCCTGGATCCATGGCCTCTCTTCGAAGGAGACTACGCACAATTCTCCTGGGTCATCAAGCGAAACCAAACGAATCGGGTGCATACATGTAAGATATCCAAGCAGGTGACAGCCGCCAGCGCGCCCGAAGCAGCGGCCAAGGAGGCGAGCGGTAAGCGACGGGTTTGCTCGAGTTTTTTTCTTGACAACGTCCGAGTCAGGCAGCCGGCTCTTCCTCTCGCAGTTCCAGCCCATCTTCCTTCACCGTGCCGCGCAAAGCCGAGGACTCCAGGGATCCTTCATGGTCCTTCTTGGGCAGCTCGGGTTCAGGTTCACGTAGAGGTCCTCCGTCCCGTGCTCCCATCGCTGCTCGGTGCCACGACCATTTCATCATATTGCATCCATCACTTCGTGTTGCTCCGGCCTTGAGAAGAACATCCGCGAAGCATGCCTATCAAACGCATAGAAGCTGCAGGAGCTTGGCAGTGACGAGGATGCCGAGGATGAGGAAGAGGAGGAAGAGACGCAGGAGTCAATGACCCTCAAAGGTTCCATGCTGCTGCAATACCGGACATTTGCAGATCGACAGTACTACAGTATTCCTCCAGCTTGATTCTGCAAGGAGCCGAAAGTGGCCGAGGACAGAGCTGATGTTCTTTAATGTCAACAGGAGGGCAGCAGTAAATTCGTGAGCCAAGCGCGCCTAAACTTGCCTTTGTTCACGACATAATAGATGTGCATATGTATACATTAAAAGATGTATATCTGTTTACACATGTATGTATGTATGTCTGTCTGTCTGTCTGCGTGTACGTACGTATGTACGTACGTACGTGTGCAGATGCTCTTGGCACCCTCAAAGTCATGAGAAGCTGTTGTCCCCAAGCCGCATCTGCTTGAATGCCACAGCCACGCTGACAGTTGTAAACAGTGCCCTGGAAATCTTGAGTCTCAAGGAGTCGGTGGCTCAGCCCACAGCAGCTGCGCCCTCGTCGAGGCAAGTGGGGTTCGGACGTGCGAAGAGCCACGGACAGCGAAAGCAAGCCAAAGGATGAAGACAACGAGTCAAAGCCAAAGCCTCTCAAACACAGTCTAAGGCTGTCTGCTGCGGTTCTGCTGCGGTTCTGCTGCGTTGCTACAGCCGTGTCAGGCCTCGTGAAAGCCAGCGGAGCCGCAGTCGGCCACTGATGCGGGGCAAGGGGCGGCTCCGCAGCCTCTCACCAGGCTTTGGGAATCAGAGCCAACAGCGCAGTCAGGCTTTGAAAGAGGAGTCTAGGGAGCAGCAGGCAGTCCAGCAGGATTCGAGCTTCATAAAAATGCTCGTGCAAGGTGTGAAGAAGGTACACTCACCTTTGGCAAAGCGTTCTCAACACTTGGCGGTCACGTTTCAGTAGTTTGGGACTCGGACAGAAGAACCCTGCACTACGTTTCGCTGTTGCTCCCGAATGCCTAGCAGAAGGGTTCTCGTTTTGAGGTTGGGGTTCTGGGGGTCAGGGAGTTGACGCAAACTCCGTGCGCAGCGCCCGCGATCATTGGCAAGCGTTGGCAAGCATTCGCGAGTGTCGGATTCCCCCAGAAATGATCGTTTTTTCGTACCGAACGTCTCAAAAGTGCCAAAAGTCATAGGGTTGCCTGGTCACACGAACACACGACACGAAGACATGACATGAAGACACAACACGACACAAAGACATGACACGAAGAGACGACACCAGGACACGACACGAAGACATGACACGATGACACGACGTGTCATGTCTTCGTGTCGTATCGTGTCTTCGTCTTCGTGTCGTGTCCTTGTGTCGTGTCCTCGTGTCCTGTCCTCGTGTGCTGTCTTCGTGTCCTGTCTTCCCTCGTGTCGTGTTCTCGTGTCTTCAGTGTCCTGGTGGCGTGTCCTCGTGTCGTGTCTTTGTGTCACGTCTTCATGTCGTATCGTGTCTTTGTCTTCGTGTCGTGTCCTCGTGCCGTGTCTTCGTCTCATCTCTTCCTGTCGTCTCGTGTCTTCGTTTTCGTGTCGTGTCTTCGTCTCATGTCTTCGTGTCATATCGTGTTTTCGTATTCGTGGTCCTCGTGTCGTGTGTTCATGTCCCATCCTTTTTTGTCATGTCACGTCTTTGTTTCCGGGTCCGGCCCTGCTGTCAACGGCCCCCCAGGTTCTTGTGTCGTGTTTTTGTTTCGTTCCTTCGTCTTCGTGTCGTCTCCTCGTCTCGTGTCCTTGTGTCGCGTCTTCGTGTCGTGTCTTCACGTCGTATCTTTCTTGCGAAGTTGGTGACACGTGTCTGCGTTCGGGTTCCTGGCTCCCATCTGCTGTTTTTGTTGTCAAATGTTGGGCGTGAGGCGACCACGAGCCACAGCCCAAAAGCGGCGCACGCCGAGTGACGAAGCGTTTCTGGGCGATGGCAGACACTGTGTCCGTATGAGGTATAAGAAGGAGGCAGTTCGACGAAGTTTCTTTCGTGATTTCTGTACAAGTAGGACCTGCAGGCTCAGTGTTTGCAGCCCTCCTTTCTGTAAAGGCACTTGCCCGTGGCCCCAAAAGAGACCTAAGATCCTCGAAGCTGCTTGTTATCTGCGTGTTATGTTTTTAAGCTGAAAACCCTGGCCAAGGCTCAGACTCGCGGCGCCCGTTGGCGCGGCATCAAACACCCCCCTCGCGCCATGCCAGGCTGGGCTCAAGCTGATTCACTGCTAGGACTTCGCCAGTAAATATAGTAAATTCCAGTGCTAGACTTGGAGCACTTGGGCTCCACGATGCTCCACGGTTCCAATTTGTGCTGAATCAGTGCGTTCCAGAATTGTCGGGTATCCCAGAAAGGAGTTGAGAAGGATTTCAAAAAGATTTGTCCGACCAACGAGATGGACCGCCGCAAAGCCATGCGCCATTGTGATGCTTCCGGCTTGGCGTTTGTTTTGGCCACTCCGCGCCCCCCTTCGGCACAATGCCGGTTGAGTCCTTCCTTCGCAGTTGCACAGCAAATCAGGAGAGAAGGAAGAGCTTGAAGAGCAGGTTTGCGGGCACAGGGCTCTGAACCTCGCCATTGCCAACGCTGGTTGCTTCTGCCGGCAGCAGCCGCAAAGCAAGCTGTAGCTTGCTTCCCCAAGATGATGGGTCTGCTTCAGCCACGCAGTGGCCTTCCGTAGTTCAGTAGGGCTTCTGGCACGAGGATGCAAGCTTAAGCACACTGGTACATCGAGCCTCCAGATTCGATTGTGTCTCGTCGAACCCTGTTGACATGCAGAAGCCACGACAGGCATTATCTCGGAGCTCTTAAGACAGACGGAGAGAGAAGAACGAGACAGGTGCTCAAACCTGGAGGCTCAGAAAGAGCACGGGCGCAATGCAAGTCTGAGGGTGCATTCTGACCGCAACAGGAGCAGCCGCGGCTCGCTTCCGCCACCACCCCCGCCGCCTTCAGAGCGAGGCGCAGCAGAGTTGTCAAGTGCGTTTGGGAACCTGCCTGCGGGGCATCTTTCTGGGCATTGAGGAGTAGGTTCCCCACAAACCCCTAGGCCGCTGCGAGACTGAACCAAGGTTCACCCCTCACTCGTGCCCCCAATTTCTCCTCGTGTGCCCGTGCGTTCGTTGCAAGCACCGGGTGCAGACCCGTTCTCCTGAACCCTAAAACTCGAGCCCGAACCGAAGCCCAAACCCGAAAGCTTAAAACCTACACCCTGAAGGCTACACAGTTAAACCCAAACCCCAAAAACTCTTAACCATACAACCCCAAAAACTCTAGCCGAAAACCATGAAGCCTAAACCCGAAACCGCGAAAGCCCCGGACTCTAAAAGCTTGGCGGGCAGCAAATGCCTCGACCATAATCCTCAAAGCGAAAGCCCCAAAAACCTCAAGGCCTAAACCCCAACCCAAACCCTAGCTCAAGCGCTAAAGCAGAACCCTAATGCCTTGAAAACCAGTCCCAGGCTGTGGTGGGTTCATCGGTTCATCACCTGGGACCAATAAAGTAGCACCATGGAAGAAGCACGGGAAATGAGCGCCAGTGAAGGTCTTATGGGTGCAAGGCCAGAGGCAGGGCATGAGTGCCCAAAGTAGCAAGGGAAGGGCCTGTAACACCCTGCAACCATCTGCAACCGTAAAGCAGTGGCAAACTTGGAGTGTGTTGGGCTTCCAGCGGCAAGCTACAATTTCTTGACAAGTTGGATTGCCAACAGCAGGGTTCGCCAGGAGGAAGCAACACGGCAAAACATGGGAAAGCCATCAATCCGCAAAAAACAAGGATGGCAAGCCCTAAACCAGGCAACTGTCATTTATCAATACATATCAAGACAACATTGCCCCGTGCATGGTTAGTCCGATGCAGGACGAGCCCGGCAGGCGACACGAGACAAGGTGCCAGCAAGAGACCGTTCGCCCCTAGTGGTCGTAAAGCGGTTCGCTGTGTTCCTGCTGTCACCTCGCAGGTGTGCTTTGTGTATTGCGCTCGTGGGAAGTGTGCATCGGGCGACGACTGCCCCTTGCGCCATCCACCCAAAGAAGACGCAGCGGCTCAGATGAACAATGCACATGCCCATGGGAAAAAGCACAAATGTATTTACGAATTGGTCTTGGGGCTGCTTCCAAGGACAAGATCATGCGATGGGTGGAGTCCACGCCATGCCGCGAGGGCAAAGCCGCTTGGCTTTGGCTGTGAGGACGTCCGTCGAAGTGCATCTGCAGCATTTCTACCCTCAGAAGTGTTGACAATTCAAGAGAGCTTCAACAAGTTCTCCCCCCAACAGATGAGGAAAAGAAGCTAAAACTTGAAGGATGCGTCACCCTTTATTCCCAGAAGCCTCATAAGGACAGTCAGGAGACTCTAAACCGAATAGCAAAAACTTTCGAACGCTTCGTTTGCCTCGTGATTCTGTTTTCAGATTGTTTCTTGTTCACCTTAATTCCAACGTAAAAGAGCTCGCGTTGCTGTCTTTGTTCGCCGTTCCAATCATGCAGAGCTGTCACAGCAGAAAGGAACCCTAATCGGTGAGAGTGCTTGAGTTGGTTCCAGAGGCCACTCCGGTCCGGTGCCGACATAGACAGAAAGGGGGTTCCAAAAAAAAAGCAGCATGGAGTCAACAACTTGTAGGCTCACCCCTCTTCGAAACGTTACAAACCTTGCTCCTAGGATTGCAAGCGCCCTCACTGCTACTTCGTGCATCCAGGGAGCTC